CTGTGTGACTTAAAAGTCGCGAAGTTGTGTTAGCAACTAGGAGAATGTCAACTGAAAATGACAGGAAAGAAAGCTAGTTCAAGAGAAATAATAAATAAGGAACTATCAGACAAAACTATTGCCATTTACTCTAATAGCCAAGCTCTAAAGGCAATTCTCTCACCTGGAATAAAATCACAACTGGAGAAATAATATCTAGAAGAGTAAACTAGTCAAAACAAGGTTACTCTAGCCATGGTACCAGGCCACGAGGGTATCAGGTCAATGCAAAGGCTGACGAATTAACACTAGAAAACTCAAATAAGGCCATGAGGAGTTGCTAAGGCATTGTGCAAAGCATTCATCAAACAATGGATGCAAAAAATCTCAGGAATATCTAAGACTGCGACAGACCAAACAGTTCATCAAGGAATCATCTGCCAAGTTCACCAAAGACCTACTGTTTCAAAAACGTCAAATCCTTAAGATAACAGTAGGTCTTTTTACCGCAAATTTTCGTCTAAGAAGAAAGTAACATTGTGCAAGTCCTATGAAGAAGAAAAAGAAGAAAAGAATACATCAATCCACGTCCAGTGCCAGTAAGAATCTTTAATCAGTTTTATTGGTCACTTGCTGAAAATGTAACTTATAATTTAAAATCTTCTAATCCTTCATATTTTGTAAAACACTCCAATTTTACTTTAGATTTTACAAGTTTTTAATATTGCAAATATAATTGTATATTTTATGTAAGAGAATTATTGAAATAGTAATAAACAGTTTGATTCATTGCTTAGAAACTCACAAATTGTTTGAAATACAATGATTTGGTATTAAAAAGAACAAGAACATTTCTGATGCTATATTTTTATATCTTGAACTTGCTTCTTACAATATTAATTTTATCGAAGCTGTAGCGGAGTTTAAAGATTTAAAGGCGAAGCTAAGAGCTGCTATATAGTTTTAAATATAAGTTCCTCAGGGTTTTGTGTTGGATCCAATTTTATTCCTTTTTTATATAATATAACATTTCTTCTCCACTCCATTATTATATTTATTTAATAATAATAATAATTCCCGCACAATCAGAATTCTGCTGAACAATTAAAGACATCCAACAAACGTTTTTATGTCGCAATTTATTTTTATCGCTTGTATTTCGGCTCGCAGACAAAGAAAAAACGTATTTCGTAAGGTGGGTCTTAAACTCTTTTTCGAAATAGGATAGCGGACCAGAAATAAAACAATTACCACAAAAATAACTGCGTGAGCGAAGACACTTAAAGCCATGCTCCATTTCACAAGAAAATCGTAATTTTCACGGCGGACGTTCCTTTTGTTGGAGTGCCTGCTGGCGTTTTGGTTGCTTTGCAATAGACGGATGCCGGTCGACCAGCAAATAAGAAATGGGGTTAAATGCTGCACGCCGGTATGAAATATGAAAGATATCTAAAGGTACATAAAATATGGCGAGCCGTGCCTAAGACAATATCTATTTGATAAAAATGCAACAGAATAATATCTATTTGATAAAAATGCAACGTTGTATACGATTTAAATAAACTTACTTGTATAAATGCATCTATTAAACTTACTGTCCAAAATTTGATTATAACTAGATTTAAAAGGACTACTAAGAGATTTTAAAGAGGGAAGATATATTTCTTTTTCCTCTTTTTCGTCAATGTATGTTAGGCAAACCTAAACTTGCACATAAAAATGAAGCCTATTAGTCAATCCAAAGTATACCTTCATGGGATATTCACCTGGAGGACTGGTTATTAAAAACTCTGTACATTGCAAGGTATGGGAAATAAAGCATCTTTTATATGTACATTTAATGGTAAATAATAAATCTATTATTATCGTCTTATAATTACAATTGAGTTATTTGTAAGCAATTTAGACAGGTCTCCAAGCTTTTAGTTATATTCAACCTTTTAATAGTTTTTAAAGCAATAGCTTAAATACCGGCACATACTCTATATGAAAAGAAAAGAATGTATATACCTATTATTATAATTTCATACTCCATACTGAAGACCCCACGTTTAAATTGGAGAAATAAATATTATTGTAACAAAAAAGTGTTTTGTCATATTCCCATAATAGGAATAATTCTGGTTGACAGCGGTAGTTTAAAAGTAATAATAATTTAAAATATCTTTACACTCTAGGTCACTGTATAGTATGTTGTCATAGCAATGATGAAAACATATTAAATTGGTTGATTTTATTTTTTGTATTAAAGTTGTTTTTATATTAATTAATTAATTAATTAATAACACAAATATTATAAACTACGCGTTTCAGAAGAATGAGTTTATTGCAGTTTAGAACTTATAGAACTTATTTCAATTCTTACCGTTTCAATGGCCTTCTCCAATCGAAATATTTCTTCCTGTAGGAGATGCAGCGTTCCCGTTTTGCCTCGGTGTCTCGCGAAAGCTGCAGCGCAAGCACTGTGGATGCTGTTTACCCAATTCTCCAGTTCCACCTGAAAACAAAAGATCATCAAGTTAACTGGGTTTGTTGCATTCTGAGGGTTGATAGTTTGCAGACAGTGGCGTACTTTTCTTAAAATATGAAAAATACAGGAATAAGTAACCTCTTCTGTGATATTAAACAAGTTAAAATAACGAAAATACCCTAAACGTTGACATCATACATAACTCATCATTCATCATTATCATCATCCTAAAATTTCATAATTATAAGTGCATCCGATAAAAAAGAATACTTTGTTGCCATACTTTTTAGCTACCCTGTATAAGCAACACTACTGGCTCTTTCATAGAATTTATAAGTTGCTAATAGATAAAATACTTATATTTTAATATATTAAATGTTAAATATCTGATTATTATACAGGATACAATAATCTATATGAAGATAATATTAGTTATTCTTAAAAACAGTTACTTTTATACCCTTTTAGTCATAAAAAAATGTATAACCTCTTAATAAATAAAATAAGAAATAAAACATCTTGTGGTTTCGATAAAAAGTTGTTTCTTTTATTACATCTCCATTAATATTTTCCAATAGTGTCTTCTGAGATTTAATAAAAACAGGAAAGGTTATTCCTGTCTTCCTGTATTGATGCCAAGTGAGTAACTATTCGCGATTCAAATTAATTTTCGTGCGCCTGTCATTTGTCACTTATAAGTAGGATGTTTGTTTATATTTACACGTGTTTTTTTTGGACGGATTTTGTATTCGTGATTTTTAACTGTTTTTAGATAATATTCTCATTGTAATAGTGTTTTTGAGTTTCATTTAGTGTTAAGTTTATTTCTCGTCCTTTCGTCATAAATATAATATTTATCATGTGGATGACTTAATTTGTTGGAAATATTCACCTATTAGTTGCTACAAGAAAATCTAGAAATATGTATTTACTAAACCCAGGACATGTTTTATTATGTGGTTTAAAGGATATTTTAGGTACCAAACGTTTATTGGAACCTTTTACAAATTTCCTCCAGAGTGCGTATCACTTAGCTTGAATCGCGAATAAATGTTCCGTCAATTTTTTCAAAAATGGAATGATTAAATCTCTATCTAGAATTTCATAAAATAATTACATCAAATCGGCATCATTTTCAATGACCAAAATCTACTAATATTGCAATTTATTTTATGAACAATTAACACATTAATGCAGGCGAATGCTCTGTTGAATTCATTTGTGATTTGAGCAGGGAATTTGACACTGTCGATTATAATATATTAAGAAATAGACCTTACAATATTGGTGCCCTGTATTTATTTATTTATTTATTTATTTATATACAGGAGATTTGTTTTTTTATTGTAATCTTAACAAATTAAAGACAATTATACATACCATTGTCTAAAGACAATGCCTGGTATAAATCCCCATTGGTTAATGGGTAAAGATTCAAAAATAAATTGCCCACAATAATAAAATCAAATGCAGGTGTGATTTCTATTAAGGTATATTCATTAAAACAAAATTTACTCAATCATAATATACAGTGTCGGCTATTGAAAGCTTTCCAATACGCTGTGTTAATGCCATAGTGAAAACAGATAGTTAGTATTAGCGCGAGCAGCAAACGAATAATATCAACTTTGCCAGTTGATTTAAATAGGCACACAACGAGGGATATCTCCATGTGGCCGAGCTGTTTAAACCGGCAACGTTGATATTATTCATTTCCTTCTCGAGATAATGCTAACTTTCTAATTTTCACTTTGACATTATCAAAGCGTATTGGAAAGCGTTCAATAGCCGGTACTATAGATAATATTTAGGTTAAGGTTTAGATTTTAGTGTGTATTGTAATTCTACAATAAATTAAATTTTGTAAAAATAGTAAACAAAATTTTTTTAAATAACACTACGCCCATGTCTATCGTATTTTCGCTATTTTGCAGATGTGGTTGTCGCTCTTTAATGGAATTGTATTCAAGAGGGATGCACCAATGTATTGTTCCCTTTGGCACAAATGAAGGTAGGACGAATGAAAGGGTAGAGGCAGTGAAACTAGATAAGGGTTTTGCGTGCAGAGGTATTTTATGACCACTGAAGTTCAGTAATTTGCGCAAACTTAAAATCTTAATTAGATTAGTTCAAAGAAGCGATTCTTAATAAACGAAAACAAGCTTGAAATTGATACCACGAAAGGCTGATGGCATTTTACGAATATGTAATTAGTTTCGGTCCCAAGAATGTCATCAGGTCTGCAGCATTGTGGTTTTATATCATGGAAAGAAACCAATTATTCCTGTGGTTCCCAAACTGTGAATAACGACCCATAAGGGGGTCACGAAGTGTTTTCTTAGAGATCATCACGTACTGCTCTTAAAAACATTTAAAAAATGTAAAGATATTTCATTGAAACTGGAGGAGTATAGTGGAAAAACGTCTGTGGTGTTTGCATCGATGAAGCACCAGCTATACTTGGGTTTTCCAACAAAAGTGAAAAAACTTGCTGTTATATTCTTAGTAGACAAAAAAGAATTCTTATTTTATTAGCTGCTTCCTACGATCAATTATATTAAAAATAAAAACAACGTTGTATATTTAACAATTATGTTATTGAAATTAGCTTTAAAATTAATAATTCTCTGAGCAACATGTTGACACAAGCATAATATCAGTATACAAAGTGATTACGCCAAACGTATACTCATTAGGAGTCATCCTGATCCTTCCTCCTTTTATAATCTGTTGAGTATCGTACAAAATATACAACATGTAAATAAAAACTATCAAAAAAATATTAATTAAGCGAAACATATAAGCGTTTTTATAAATCCTTAATAACACTGCAATAATTCCAAATCCACCCACTATAATTCCTAGTACAATTGGAAGGCAATTCGGTGCTCCAATATCAATTAAATTGAACTTCGCTAATAGGGTCAGGATAAAGCATATCAACGCAGTTGAACCAGTAGAATGCAGTATGACGTATTTTCCGTATCGGCAGGCTATGTAAGCAGTCGAATAAGCTAGAGCGAAACTAAAAAATATAAACAGCATCAAATTTGCTGGAAATTTGCTTCTCAACTCCACGTAACAATAGAGTATTATTTCCAGAACTACTAAACAAACCACCAGCAATACCAAAATCCCTTGAAAGTGTAATAGGAATTGTTCCATAGCAGTTACTTGCACGCAAAGCATTACAAACGTATATATTGCTAGCAATTGTAAACTGAGGATTAGATACACTTTAGAGAAGAAATGGTTTCTAATTCGTCTGTTATTGAACGGTAACAGGTAACTGTTAAGTCTAAGAAATTCGTCTGATTCGTCATATTGAGCCGAAAGGTTGAATATTTGCGTTGGTATGGGTTCAGTTTCACAATATGTTGGAGGTATTTCCATATTTGAGTAAGGAGGTGGTGGATCCCCTGCGAAGCACTGCAGTCTTCTAGTTGAGCTAATAATCACTTCAGGTTCTGTTTCCGTACCTATGCCGATTTCATGCGTTGCAGTAAGAGGTTCGTTGGAGTAGCAGTTTGCAAATTTTTCAAGTACTTCCTCTTGTTCACGTAATAGCTGTTGACTAAGCTCTTCTAGGGACAGCAAGATAGCATCTTCTCTCATTATGTCTATCAACGGTCTTGGTTCCGGTTCATCTTCATCTATAGTTTCTCTGGTAATTTTTTTCAATCTTGGCGGTTTTAGGCACTCCAACCAACTCAAAGATTTCTTACAAAGCTCATAATCATTATCATTTGTACTACCTTGTAATGTAGGAGAACCTTGTCCTGAAGTATGTGGTTCTTCATCTATTTGATAGTTTTCGGTTTGAATGATTTTTTCTTCGATTACTATACTTTCTACGTCCTGAAAAACATCGTCCAGGGACTCGCAAACATCGAAAAATATATCAGTGGTACTCATGTTTATGTTCGTTTTATTTATTTTGTTTTTCGATTTATTTATGTTGAATTGTCAATAAATAGTTTAGTTTGACTTTTTTGATGTAAAGGCTGCTGATTCAGTGCGTGAAAACCACATACTTTGATTACTATACGGTGCAAGAGAGAGGTCCGACACGCCCAACATAGGGAGCGGCCATTTTGATTCCTATGCCACAGTTTATAGCTAAAGAATCAGATCGCTCACTCTGCGTCGGCACTTTTGATCTCAATGTTCCAGTTTATACACTGCGCAACTCGCATAATACAATATATGACAACCGCCTATAATAAAACAGCAGTCTTCAGGTTTGTTCCAACAACAATCTTAGAACCATACACAAACCAGTCCACAACTTATCGTCAACGACTGATAGTCGACGACCAGTCCACGACCTGTCGATGATTGGGACTGAATTTGGAACTTGGTTGTGTTGGAACACATGTTATTGTTGTCAGACGTAAAAGTAAAAAAAAATAACAGATTAACAGATGTTAAATTTTGAATTTGGTAAATAAAAAAATTATAAAATTCATTAAAAGATTTATAAATTTTGATTATTCGATTGGTTTGTACATTAATTTATTTTATTTTTTACTACGGCAGAATAATAGTCCTTTTCACTTTCTAAACTCATTACTCATAAAATAATATACTAAATGATAATGAATAAAAAGCAAATTACGATCGAGACTACTATCGATGCTATCAATACGAATGTAATCACGACATTTCTAGAGTTGGTTGTGATTTAGTTACGAGCTCACTTTCGTTTTGTGCATGTCTTAACAATTCGTTCGTATTCAGACCAAGGAACTTATTTGACAGTACATAAACTGGTTTGTGATTAGGTTTGAATATGTTGGAACACTAGGTTTTTGTATAGTTTAAAGTCCGAGGTTTGTTGAAACACAAAAACGCACCTATTATTAAAAATATTGCGCCAAGATGTAGGCAACACGTAATAAGGGATCAAAATGGCGGAGTTTTCTATCTCCTTTTAAAAGGCACTCAGAAAGCTGCACAGTGCGACCATTCTCCGTATAGTAAAAGAAAAAATCAAAGTATGTGGGACATGCGCATTTCAAGAACCATTAGCAGCAAATAAATTTTCATATAAGACATTTTCTAAATTCAACAAAATATTGCACTGTTGATAGATCAAGTGATCAGTAAAGGGCCAACTGATATAACCCTGATTTGTCAATGATGGAGTTTTTTAAGAATGACTGACATTTTTTTTTAAATTTCGAAATTTCTAAAGGAAACAAACTAATAAATATGAAATCTTATCTATCTATTAATTTAGGGTTATGTCGATTGATCCATAAGTTCACCAATCCAAAGAGCAGATGGATTTGGTGACAACCAATTGAGAATTTAGTTGAGTATTGGAATCTGTTGGATAAGAGAAGGATTTTGATGAATATTGAATAGCATCGATTAATCTTACAAAATATGTCTTGAATTCTAGTTTTGCTATTAGTTTCCTTGCATCTGTAGATCTTTTAGTATTATCCCAATGAAAGACAGATAAATACCCTTTCTCATATCTACATCTTCTATGGTCTTTCTGAAAATTGCAATGACCAGTAGCACCAGTAGCCAGCACCTTAAAGATTTTTTTTAGAAATCATTCGTAGCGTGATGTTCAGCTCGATATACTTCCTAAACTACGGCGATTGGAAAATCTCTAAAATTCTATGAATATTGATCAATTTTAAACCATATAGATGTGATTATTAGACATTTTGGATTATGTGAACTCACGGTTCACGTGAACTTCTCTGTCAAATAACCAATCAGAAGCTAGCGTTTAAGCTTAAAAATAAAGTACATTATGACGTGATGTTTTTCGGAATAATACGTTATATTGACAGATCGAATGTAGCAATAACTGACTAATTTTAACACATGGATTCAAGATGCGTTTCGTTAGATTTAGAAAAATCAAGTGAAGAATTACTAGCAATTATTATCGAAGAAAATGATGAAGAAATAAAGGCAAAACCCGCATGGAAATGCGACGTAAAAGAAGAAAGTACCAGCCATGCATACGATATTCCATCTACAGAATCATCTGTTAGGTTAAAACCTATATCAGATTTACTAAAAACGCTCAGTTTATCGGATTCCCTTGTGGATTTAAATAAACAGATAATAAAAGACAAAGAAAAGGTCATCAATGAATATGGCAAAGATTTTTCCAAGCAAGACCAGCAAATTTCGGAAAAAGTATTTAATAATTCGTTTTTGAATAATTGTTTGTATCAACCATATCCGCCGCTTCCTTACAGCGATTTTGAAGACAAGCAAATGCATGTAGGCCCAATATACGTTTATCCGGTTCAAACAGCCTTCGAAGTTGAAGAAGATAGATACGAAGGGCAGTTCAACAATAGAAAAATTAGAAATCAGTTCATATCCAAGGTGTTTTCGATACTCTTCACGCAGCTGCTTATAACTTTCTTATTTATTTATCTTACTATTACCGTGCAGGAGATAAAGCAGTTTGTCCAAAAGGAGTTTCTGTTAAGTGTTGTTTTTATTATGATTGAGATTGTGATATATATTACGCTTATATGCAGCGAAACTTGTAGAAGAACAACTCCATTGAACTATATATTATTAGGTATTTTTACCGTAGCTACTTCATACGTAGCTGCATTTATAAGTGTTCATTACGATACCGACACTGTATTGTTGGCATTTGGAAGCACTGCAGGAATAACTGCTGTAGTTGGATTAGTTGCATGGACCAATTGCGTTGATATCACTTCATGTGGATTTGTCTTATACATGATCTTAATATCAACTATGATTTTCAGTATATTCGTCACGGTTCACATAATGATGACTGGAAGTTATACTCTATACTATATTTTATTATATTTAATGCTAGTGGTGGTTATTGTTTCGCTACTCTTTAATATGGAATTGATAATTGGGAAGGGGCAGCTTGCGCTAGCGCCAGAGGAGTATATTTTTGCTGCTCTTACTTTATATGTTACTATAAAAGATATATTTATAATTTTATTACAAATATTATCGAGGAAATAAAAAAGTTGTTTTTTTTTAAAATAATTTTTATTAAAAATATAATATTAATGTGTGCAAATGGCTTTTTTAATATTATTATAAGCACTATACATGACATTAAAAAAAAAACTATGTGCCCACTGCTCTTACCCAACAATAAGACAAATAGTTTCTGGTGAAGCAAACCAAAATGGAAGAGAACAATTATCATAATATCTTATTTTTTTTTTAATTTGGTGTCATCGGCGTCGACTACTACGGCCATTAGCCTCGTGTTCTGTGTAGGCTTTGTTACCGTTTCCCAGCGCCACTTTGGGAACAGCACTGTTAATTAGAACCCAACAGTGAATGGTCGAGTGGGGAATCCTACCAAGGCATTAGAATTAATTTTAAATAATTAAATTAAATGAAAGCCATTCTTCACTCTAATCATCACAAATTTTATTTTTAACTCTGGGTAGCATATTTCTATAATCCATTGTCATTACGTCAGAATAATGTTTGTTAAGTCCTAATTTACCAAGTTTATCAGCTATGACCACATACTTTGATTTTATTTTACTATACGGAGAATGGTCGCACTACGCAGCTTTCTGAGGCTGCGTTAAGTCAACAGTCAAGTTAACTGGTATGGTCAGACAGATCGCTAAACAAATTAGTCGAAACCGTCAAGTTTTAATTTTTAAAATTCATAGTCATCATTCTAAAACGGTACAAGACCAGCCACCGGCACCAGTTTTTTCCATACGAACTTTATAATCTATTTTAAAAATTGTAAAGTTATTCTCAGATTGGTGTGTTTAGTTTGTTTTTAGTAATATATTTATTCATATTTTTGATCAAAAAATAGTATAAATATAGCCATGGTTGAGGTTTGACGTTATGTCTTAAAACTCACCCATATCTGCTGATATTAAATGGTGGAAGATTCTTTTTTGTGTGTGCAAGTGTAACAATTGGCCCATGACTATTCACTAGACAGTTTCGACTACCAAAACCAGATAAAAATTTAAGACCGTTATGACTGATCCTGACTGATCAGCTGATTAGTCATGACCCTTTCGACCGGTCCGATCATTCTCTTATCGTACCCTGAGTGCCTTTTAAAAGGAGATAGAAAACTCCGCCATTTTAAACCCTTATTACGTGTTGCCTACATCTTGGCGCAATATTTTTAATAGGTGCGTTTTAATCATCCCCTTCGACTTCGGAATTGTCGGTTTTCTTGTTTTAATCTGACAGGTTAAAACGACTAAACCGACAATTCCGGAAGCAGAAGCGGATGATTAAAACGCACCTGATATTTTGCTTGCTGCTGTCAGTGTCAGTGAATATTATTTTTGGAGTCACAGTTTATTGCTAAAGAATCAGTTGGCTCACTCGGACCAGTTGAAAGTTCCAAAATAACATCAACTCCAGGGATACAAATTCAGGATACGCAGAAGACTGCTGTTTTATTATAGGCAATTGTCATATATTGTATTATCCGAGTTGCGCAGTGTATAAACTGGAACATTGAGATCAAAAGTGCCGACGCAGAGTGAGCGATCTGACCCTTTAGCTATAAACTGTGTCATAGGAATCAAAATGGCCGCGCCCTATGTTGGGCGTGTCGGACCTTTCTCTTGCCCCGTATAGTAATCAAAGTATATGGTGTTAGTGAATATTAGAGAGTAGAAGTGATGTTATAAACGTAAACGTATGCGTGAAATTTGACATCTGCGCATGCCTATTAAAATATCCTTCACGTTTACGTCTACGTACATAAGTAAACTTACGGGCTCTGGCGTATACACGTAACGCAAACAAAATAACCTCTTTTTAATAGGAAAAGTAGAAATCCCAATATAATACGTCATTAAATGTCATTAAATGTCATTATTTGTCATGATACGTAAATGTCACGATGCGTTTAACAACTTCAACTCATATTTTGTACAGCAACGTGAACATTATTTTTCTGCGTTCACGTTTACGTTAACGTACTGGAAATACTTCAACTCTCTATTATTTTTGGAGTCACAGTTTATTGCTAAAGAATCAGTTAGCTCACTCGGACCAGTTGAAAGTTCCAAAATAACATCCACTCCAGGGATACAAATTCAGGATACGCAGAAGACTGCTGTTTTATTATAGGCGGTTGTCATATATTGTATTATCTGAGTTGCGCAGTGTATAAACTGGAACATTGAGATTAAATATTGTTACTTTATAAAAAGGAGAACCTCCTTTTTTTTAAAGTTTTCTTTTTTTTTCTTACACCTTTGTTTTCATTTTTTTCCTTGTAGTTCTTGGGTTTTAGTACACGAGTTTCATTTCATCAACACCTAAAACCCAAGAACTACAAGAAAAAAAAATTGGGATTCAAAGTGCCGACGCAGATTGAGCGATCTGATTCTTTAGCTATAAACTGTGTCATAGGGTTCAAAGTGGCCGCGCCCTATGTTGGGCGTGTAGGACCTCTCTCTTGCCCCGTATAGTAATCAAAGTATGTGGCTATGACATTTCCCTTTATATTTGTATGACTAGGTATCCACGCAAAAGTAATATTTATATTCTTAAGTTTTGCATCGTAAATCTGACTTTTAACATTATTATTTTAATTTCAGTTACGTTGACATTTTCTACTTCTTGTTCAATCCTTCAAGGATTTATTCATGGAAGTTGTTCATTCTTCAATATTTTGAGATTACAGTAGCCTGAACTATTCTCTCATTTTTGTACTCGATGTCTTTTATTTCTATTATTTTCATATGGCCCTTTTATAACTTTTAGCAGGTTTTGATTTGCGTCATATTTCCTTGTCTAGGTTTATTCCCGCCAAGCGCTTCGTTACTAACTTCATGTCACAAATGTAGTGTCTTGTGACTAGCAGTTCGTTTTGTCATTTTTGTAAATAAAAATATTGGGTTGGATGGTTAAAATTAAAATACAACTTTAATATTGTTAAATTCTAAGTTATGTCATCAAAAGAGGATAACATAGAAGCGAAGCAATTAAGTGAAGAAATATGTATAAGCAAAAAAGAACTGGAAGAACAAGTTAAAGAAATTATGATGGAAATGCTCTCAAATTTGCTAGAAAATTATAGTAACTATAATTTTACGGAAAAATCTACATTAGAAATACCTGGAAATAGCAAAAGAGATTCAATTGAAAATGTTAACAAACAAGTAGTACCACTGGATACAGCTACATATAGTACTTTACAATTGGTTAAGCGAAGTAATATGTCACGACCAAAAATTATATTTAGCAAAGACACGAAAGATACTCCGTCTGTCCATGATGCTGAAGCGCTAGCAACACCTCAAAGAAAAATATTAGTTTATCCCATTAGATCAGCAATGAGAACACCTTCCAGGCATTACATCATTCATGCCTATGATGAATCAAGGGGGCATATGTTAGGTGACCCAATTTTAAGAAAAGATTTTACTAGCAAAATAATGTTTTATGTGACTGTTCAATTGGTCATCACGTTTGCGTTAATCTTTAGTTGTATTTACATAAAATCTGTGATGGAATTTATAATTCAAAAATTGTTATTGGTATTTTGTGTTATTGCTGTACAGTTGGTAAGTTTCATCATCATCCTGTGCACTGATTCCGCTAGGAAAGCTGCGCCTTACAATTACATCCTGTTGACCATTTTTACTCTTTGCTCGTCTTATGTTTGTGGGTACATAACTTTAAAATACAGCATTGCAACTGATATGTTAATAAGTACTGGTATAACTGTGGCAGTTCTTATTACAGTATGTCTCATCTCATGGATAAATTTATTTGATTTTACAACTTGGTATTACGCAATCGATATCCTACTCTTATCCACGTTAATATTTTATTTAATATCTTCCGTTTTTTACTGGGTTACTGGCAGTCTTATTTTGCAATATATATTTTTCTGTTTGTTTTTTGTGGTAATGATCATATCGCTTCTACATCAGATGGAGCTGATATTAGGCAAACGAAAACATGCAATGGATATAGAGGAATCTCTTCTAGCTGGTGTTATAGTCTATGTCGAAACGTTAGTTATTTATTGTACTTTATTGTTAATAATCGAAGGTCCTACTTAATAAAATGTACTGTAGGGTAGGTAGAAAAGAAATCATTAGGAGGATTAAAAAAACTCTAACTAAAGTCATCAACTATTTTACTATAATCTAAAAAAAGTAGTTATTTGTTAATACTAAATACCATTTTGTAAAGGGATTGCCTTAAGGGGAGACTTTTTCAATTGAATTTATGTTTTCAATTCTAGAAGATTAGTTTAACTGCAAATAAATTTATATCACTAAACTTTGTATGTTATTATTTTTCATTTATCACTTCTTTATTATAATTATCACTCTGATAACCTTTTTTTGAAATAAGGATGAGGTGGATCACTAAAAATTTAGTAGGTGTGATATATGGTATCATCCTCTATTCAAACATTTATTAAAACTATGTACCAAAATTATATAATTATAAAGAATCATCGAACACAATATTTACTTTGATAATTTGATAGACAAGTGATTTCTAATTTGCCACTAAATAAAGAGTAATGGACATTTCTCTGTACCATAATTGTCAAATCGGTGAAATTTCAAAAGCGAAAGCTTTATTATTGTATATTTCATATCATAGAAATTGAGAAACATAAAAGGCAAGTTAGAGAGAAAAATGTTACACCTGCGTTGTCTAAAAGCGTTTTAAATGTTACCAGAAAAAATATTATGGCACAATTGCGTTCTTCAAGTAATTTCTAGTTAAGATTATAGTTCTGATGAGACGTAATGAGACCAAATGGTCATATTTGGGTTTTAACAATGAAATTTGGGGGTACAAAGATAAAAGTAAACTTCATTTTATCAATATCTACATTCCCAGCAGGCACATAATATAATATGGATGAAGAAGACGAGTAGTGTAAGCTGCCTCTAGAGCTCAATGTGAGTTTTGCTATAACTTCGAACTTTATTGCTCTACAACTTATTTTATAACGAGTTAGCCGTAAAATTAAAGGTTGCAAGGTAATATTCTTTTAATATAAGGGAAATCGCAAGTTTCTCATTAGAGTTGTAGCTATGTAGCTATGTGACTAGGAGAGATTGAGTTGTTTCTTTGTTGAAGTTTATAGAAAAGGTAGATTTCTTTATTATTAAATATATTAAAAACAAAGTTCAGAAAATTCTGGCGCAGGCAGTCATGATGTATATGCCCAATTTTGCACCCAAACACTTTTCTTTACTAAAGGGAAGTAAAAAGCTCAATGTCTGTCGACCACATAAATTCATTAGGTTGCAAGCGCTTTCGACCTAAAAGGTCCCTCGAATGAGGGAGGCAGTGCGTGCCATTTTTTACAATTTTTTACAATTTTTACAATTTACTTAAATTTTTAATTCAACATACTTATTTTTCTGTGGACACATAGTGGTAAGACACCTAGCACTATAAAAAAAGGTTTTGTTATACCTTAAATTATTATTGCAGATTGTACCTACTCACTTACAAAAAATTTTTTGCCTAATGATGACCTATTAGGTCGAAAGCGCTTGAAACCTGATAAATTTATGTGGTCGACAGACTTGGAGCTTTTTACTTCCCTTTAATCTACTTCGGACCACTTTGAGATATGGATAATATTTGGAATTTACTTTTCTTTACATTTCTCTGCTTTTCCAATTCGTGAATCAATTCGTCTCTTCTATATTCACTCGAAATATTTTCAATATCATTAACAAAATGTAATTTTTAAATCAATTAACAGTACCTGTGTACGACTCTCGTCCTACAAATCTTTGCCCAGTTACATAACATGTGTAAAAGAGTTTTTAGATTAGTCTCTTCTTTACAAACTATATTCTTTTCATGACCTAGCTGATTTCCGTTTGACAGTTTGTCATTATCTTTTAAATTCCAAAAAGTTAAGCACGTCAAATATAATATTTCGGTGTAAATATTAGCAAAATTATTAAAAAATGACTTCTTCAACTAGCTCAATCAAAATAGAGAAGGGCGTCGAAATTTCCGTAACGAAATTTGGAGAGCAAAACAAGTTGGAGGAACACATTCAAGACATCATCATGACGACGCTGCCCACGGCTACGGCTTCCGAAGGAGACGCACCCGAAAGGGAGAAGAAAGAAAAAGTGACTGACAGTGCGGATTGTCCGACCGAATTGGGTGATACGAAACCGACGGGCGAAGAAGAATTAATAAAAAATTGCGAGGCCGATTCGCTCGAGTGTATTAATAAGGATCTGGTGACGGGGCCGGATAAGGTTTGCCATTAGGATTTTTGATTGGAAATTATTATTCAATTGAATAATAATTTTTCTTATAAACTTTTCTAAATTTGGATGTTAATTTTTTTACATAAATAATTAAATTCAAAACGTAAATCTGTTTGAAATAGACAGCAGTACCTAATATTATGACCGTGAATTAGTAAATAAAAATTATTTGGCAATCTTCTTTTTATTATCAGTAGGTAGATCAGGCACATGGTTCAAATAGAATCAAGAGAAAACTGAATTGGAGCTGAATTGTAATAGGTAATTATTAAGGATCATAACTATCATTCCGAACCTTTGTTTGCGATAAGCAGCAGATCAAACGCACGCATCGCTCCTAACAACTCATATGGCCTCATATATTTACCATTGAGGAATTACTAACGGAACACTGCTTGCTGAAACACCTTCATGTGTAGATACAAGACTATAGACTGCACAAAAGAGGAAAAAGCTCGAATGCAAAGCTCTAGCTAGTCATCTACACACTATTTTCGGTATCGAATCAAAAATAGCGCTCCAGGACCATTTGGCAGGGAATCTAGTAAAACTAATCAAAGACACAGGACTATTCAAACACCTGAGTACCTGAATGCAGGGAAAGAAGAGAATATAAAAGATCCAAGAGGCCAAAGTGGCCTGCGATATATTTTTCCCTGCATATTTATAGATAGTATAGATAAAAGGTGCATCAGTATAGCTTTATTGTGCTGGTTAAAAAAGAATAGTTTTTGATTTATTGTAATTTTAGTGCTCAAATTAAAATGGATGTTTACTGACTTTCATTAGATAAAGTCGTTCCTGTTCTATCACCTTTTCATCATTGATGAGTTGTTTTGCCTTTGAAAACTGCAGTTGGAAAATACTCATAAAAAAAATCCTTTATTATATATACATCAAAGTCTGGTTTGTATAAGATTGACTTTTATCCCATTATTATACAGGGTGTCTATTTAAAATAATATTTTTTACGTTATCTTAAACCGATTCTTGATCACAATCTTTCTCGTTAACAAATAACAACTTCACGAATAATTTTCCCGTTGTCGTGAACAACCATACCCTAAGCGAATAATTCATTTAATCTTGCCGGAGTCACAAAATTCAAATTAATGTTACTAGAGAGAGAATTTAAATCTCCAAACTTTATACAAAGCTCCAACAAGGCTTCGCTTAGTGTATTGTTGGAGGTCTGGGTGGATTTTGTATCGAACACTGTATTTCTGCTCGAGGGCTACCCAAAGACAGTAATCAGACTTCTTGCTTAGTCTATTGACAGGCAATTTGTGATCTTTATGTACAGATTCTTTAACGATTTCTCATCGCAATTTATCTACAGAGGTAATGCTGGTTTTGTTTCCACTTACTTTGAGTTCATAGTCATTTTTATTGTACCTTTCTGATTATCTTCATAAATTTTTTTCTATGGACTCCCCTAAATTGTTTTCATATACTTTTTAACAATTTAAATACAAATTGGGCCCCTCTATACAACTCGTGGTTACCGCTAAGAGTGGACTTAAAGGTAAAAGGCCTATAATCTCACTCTTAACAATAATATTACTAAAAAAATAGTCAAGATATTTGTAGGTTATCTCAGTAATATCAAATAAGGCTTAACATACGATTATGACATTTATGTATAAAAAAAAAGGATTTTTTTACAAACCTGACATGGCGCCTGGAATAAGTAAGCATCACCGAAGGCCGTACTCAAGCAGAATATATAATCCCTCTTGGGATGTTCGGGAATAGGTTGCATGATGGCGCCATCTACAATTATCAGATGTTTCGGTGCAGCTTCTACTGATCGTCCTTCTCTCGAATCGCAGGGGTAAAACAGAAGAGTCGTTCCCTTGAGGCACACCCAGTACCCCTTCCAGCCTCGTTTGCGGGCTAGTTCTATTTGATGTTTTTTCCGGAGCAACCATTTTTTAACGCTTAGAAATCTGAAACAAAAGGTAATGTTATTGTGATTGTCCTTTTTTAATTAAAAAATAATCATGGTTTAATGTAAAAGAAATAAGTGAAAAAAGGAAGTTTACAATTAAAAATGTCATATGACGAAATAGTAAATTGCGCAATAAGTACATGATTTGCACAGGTCTATAGAAGTGAATCACAACTAATTCAAATCTATAGACTAGCTGACGAGCAAAGAGGCTGCTAAAAGGGTCATAAGAGGGTCTTATCAATTCAGGAGAATGTACAATTTGCCTAGAGTTACATATACAGATAGATAATTTTAATTTTAGCGCCATCTAGCAGGATAAAAACTGCTATGTACGACAATAAATAAGGATTTGATAGAAATATAGGTAATAATTTTAGTGCAATTTTATCTGGCCACCCTGTATACTAAGCCTGATTATAACTGTGATTGAAGGAAAAAGTATTTCTAATATAGAAGCCCATAAACTAATTTTTATATGAATATTATTATTGCTATGAGTGACTCTAATAATTTTAAGTTATATTTATTCGAGCTCTCTGGTGAACCAATTCTAGTTTCTGCTCTTATTATTCTCTAAAAAGGAGCTTTCAAATATAAAATTAGTTAATTGTTTATTTGTTAAACTATAAATATTTGCCTAATTACTTCCGTAAGAAATTTCAACCAGTCTGGCTTTAATTATTTTGTGTTAAAATAAAGGATTCAAAATTGTTGATGTTGAGAAAAAGCCTCCAGGAAAATTCTCGATTAAACTTTACAATGCAACAAAATTGTGTACTGCGAATAAAATTGTTTAGTAGCTTATACAGAGAAGAAGTATCTGTACGTATACACTTTTTTCTAAATAGGATTATCCCTTAGAAATAAAATAAATATTGAAAAACGATATTTCCACAAAAAAACCCTTCGAAGGTATTTTAACGAAATCAGCTATTTATATTTTAGCTCGTTGGGTAACTCTAGCCCCTTCTATTGAATGTAAACGGCTGGTAAACAGCAAAAGGTTATTTTCCAAGTTGAATAGAAACTTCTAAAAAGCCGATTTGGGATTGGAAGTATGTTTATTTTTTGCTTTTTCACCTTCTTTTTATTTATTTTCGAAACTTTTTTGATGACAGTTTCTTTATACGAAAATTTAGATTCTTTTAAGATGACAATAAAGCTGGGGCTAAAAAAAATGTTTCAATTCGTTCTATTCTCTCACTATATACCAGTTTTATTTTAAAGAAACACAAAATTGACCAAAAAAATGTTATGTTTAAAATGTTTTAAAAGAGATAAAGATCGTTCTGCGTATTTCGAAACACACTTCCAATATCCCTTGTTTAATGGGAACGGAAGGTTTAGTTGAAGTTCCAACTAATATTTTCCATTATTTGTCAAACCAAGCAATTTCCTGACTCTTGGATATGCACAAGAATCGGTTGGAAAATCACAAATCCATTTCCTCTAGTTGATGCAATTTTTCAAAAGACTTCTTTATAATTCTATAATCATGGCAAGCGATCTACAGAACTTAATGATCAATACGTAATATATTTCCGAAATTCTTGATGTCTAGAGTCAAGTTGATTTTGTATCAGACTACTC